TGGTGGCAACTCATCTTTGTTATCACGCGCGTTTAGTGTTGGAACCCGCTGTCCGCGTGTTGACATCGATCGATCGTCGTATCCTCTCTGGCACGTCACCACCCACGGCGACGCAATTGTCCGCCAGTCAACACGTGACACGGCACGACCAGTTTTGGTTGTGCATGCTTATGACATGTGTCTTGTCGGAAACCAAGGTACTTCGTTGCTGCTTAGAACTAGTACACTTGGTCTACCAGCAGGCAAGAATCAGTGCTTGGCCAGCCGTCGGTAAACACAAGACAGATGAGAGACTGACTGTGCCACCAGAAAAAAATAGTCATATCCACCTTTTTCGGCAACAGCACGCTACTCGACACTGCTACGCATGTCGTTCACTTCCGTCCCACTCTGCGCCGAAGATGGCGGCGTTGGAATCGTCTCGTCGAGATCTTTCCGACAAAAAAATGCACCTGTCCTGTTCGTGCCCTCTTCGCTGTTGAGTCCTCGAAACTTGGTCCAAACGGGTGTGACATCTCCTTCTCCTACGGTACTTCCGCAACGTGAGAGATTTATGATAAGTCAAGATACGACGGAGATTTCGTGGATTCCACATACAGACATGTCCTTATCCTCCCTTGATTGGGTGTGATAACGAAAAGGGCACACCCCAGCACCAACAACTTGTAACACGGCACAAGTTCCGCAGCAGTGAGGACATGGACCAAAGCATGGCGCAGACTGCACGCACGCGTGTACGGCCACTGATCACGGTACGCCAACAACGCGGACAGCATACTGCTGTACCCGGTAACTGCACGAAAAACCTCACACCACCTGTGACACATCAACTACTGCGTGTAAAGACACACAAAAACAATTACACGCACACACAGGTTGGTGCACGACCATTCATCAATCAACTTTCGGCCTCAAGAACAATATTTTGACGTGGCATATATCTATTTGTGACTATGATGGCCGGGAGGAGGAGGAGGAAGGCGCGAGAGTGTAGCTGACACGAAGAGTGCCCTTCTTCGCCTTGACCTTGGTGATACGCACGCCCTCCATCTCTCTGGTACTCCGCACGTGGGTTCCGCCGCAGGGGCAGGAGAGGCCGGCCACCGTCACGGTGCGCGTCGCCGCGCCATACTTCGTCGCTGCCGCCGCGGTTGATGACGCCGGCACCTTCCCCCTCCCCCCTCTTCCTCCTCGCTCTGCTACTACTGTTACCTCCTCCCTGCCTCTGCCTGCCGCCCCTCTCGAGGGACCTTCTTGTGCTGATGACGACGACGACGATGGAGCCTCATCGCCGTGTTCCTACCATTGTTGTGCACGCGAGACAGACAAGCGGAGCGAAGAAACCAAGTGTCGAATCATTCAGGAGCGAACTACACTCGCCAATCTTCTTCCTCCCACTCTGTTCTTGCGCATGATTCGGAGAGAGAGTCCTCGAATGCATCCAGGCACAACCAACCGCCGTTGTGTAGAGCATTCGCGCAGCAGTAAACGTACTACTTCAGTGTGTGTGGGGGGTGGTACGCAAAAATGAGAAATGTACGGTCAATGGCAAAAAAACACTTCGAAAGCACAACCTTTTGTAGTCCGTTATCCGGTGGGATACAGTGTCCGAAGCACTATCACCCCCACTCTTTGGACAACTATGCATAGCTGTGTGCATCCGCCGCTAGTTTGGTCAATGCTTTCCCCCCAAAACGGGCCGCACCACACACGAGACTCGAGGACCCGTCGTGGAGCATGCTCCCCGCCATGCCGCCCACGCCCCCTGGACCCCACGCACGCACCTGATCCGCCATCTTGACCATAGTCTCCATATTCGCCATTACCAGCTTGTCGAGCTCGCTGTTACACTGTGGCGTGAGTGACGTACATACAGACGCAACAGGAAAGAAGAGGTTAAAAACTGACTTGTGTATTTGAAACGATTTAGTCTGGAACCCTTCTGTGTGACCACGGGTTGGAGTAAAAGGCACAAGTAAGTGCTGTGAGCGCTAATTTGAAGTGAAGACAAAAAAAAAAAAAAAACGATAGCAGCGTCAGGCTCAGCTTCTCGCCGAGGGTCACAAGGCTGCAAATTATCTCTGTCAAGTACGTAGCGCTCTACTACCACTCACTATGTAGCATGTATACCTTCTCGATGAAGGCATCCTTCTCCAGGCCTGCCGGCAAGGTTCCTCGGTACTCTACGTAGGGCGAGTCGTCGAAGTGGTAGCCCTTGAGCGGCGAGAACACGCCCGCGCCCACCGCGCCCACGACGGCCTTGTCGACCGCGTGCCCCGCCGAGTGCAGAGCCGCGTGCCTCAGCCGCTTGGCGCTGTCCAGCGCCAGGGATGCTGGCCGGCCCGCCTGTTCTTCCACGAGGGCCGGAAAAAACGCGAGCGGTAGGGGGGGGGGCGGGCGGTGGGTGGATAGGCACGAAAGGAAGGAGGGCGACCCGCTGTTCGTCTTGATGACGAACGATGGTGGCGCGTTTAGTCTAATGGTTGCGCCCGCCGATTTGTGGGCTGGTTAGTTCGGTACACGCGTGCATGAGGCCGATTGATGCTGAGGATGAAAGGTACCCAGGATAGCGAAGGATACCATCGAGTCATACGTCCGCCCCGTAAGTGCGACAAGGCAACCAATCAATCGGGACTCCACCAGACTCTAGCCAGCACACCCCCACGCACGCACGAACGCACGGGCACGTGAATGACTCGGAGGGTTCCCCGAGAACCCTATCTCACAGAAGTGAAACTATTTCATCTTGTCCGAGAACGTTTCATGCATATGCCCATACCTTCCGGCCAAACACTGCCACTGATGGGAAGGTCTGCACGGGAATAACAAAAAAAAAAACTCCTGAGCCATTCGACCTGGCGAGGGGGGTTTCATCGCCTGGTCTGTGACCACCGGCTAGATTTCGGCTAATGAGCGAACAACAAAATAACGATTCCAGAGATCGGTGGGAATGCCTGGATCGATCGGGCCGCCTTGGCGGCGTGATCAACTGGAAACGAACGCGGATTCCACCATATACTCCCGAAGCCGACGCGCACGCGCGAAAAGAAGTTTATACATTGCGTTCTTTGGTCGTGTTGCATTCTGATTGGCCATTGCTGCTGGACGACGACGGGCCGCGCGCTTACCTCCAGCCGAGGTTGTGGTGTTCCCGACATCGTCCCGTAGTGGTAAATCACGCCACCCACGTCTCTAACCTTGCTCACAGGCACGGTGCAGTCTCCGCACGTGATAGTTCCTGCATGAAATTAGGTAGTGCGACAACGACATATATTTAGAGAAGAACCAAGGGCATATGAGCAGGCCTACGGTCAATCGTTTTCACGGCAGGAATATGACAACTAGCAATGTATTCGGGGATGACGCGTGGGCATTGGCCTCACAAACGAGGTTTTGGTGGGTGTTTCAATCGGCAGAACAAAAGGTAGGGTCAACAGACTTTTGGTGTGACAAGACAGACTCGATCACACGATCTCGTACGAAGGCACAAGTAAGTGTCAACGGCTGGAAGGAAAGCGAAGCATAACTAAACCACAAAACCACAACATCCTGACTGTAGTGAGAGTTGACGTGCCTCAACGCGATAAACTACCACTTCACTGTGAGCTTGTGCTGGTTGTGTGTACAATCATCAGACGAGCGGCCAGGCAGCGTCTGGCTAAATTGGAACGTCACCCTTGCTGTCGACAACTCTTCTCATGGACGGCGTACATTCAAACCGGAGACGGCATGTTGAACCGTCATTTAGAAACCGAATCGAACCATTAGATTCCAAAGTCGCTTGAAACACGTGCTACCCCCACCACTCCAAAACATTTTGCCACAGGGGACAGGTATAACGGTACGTCCATAATCAGCCCGGCGCACCATGCACCTTCATCGCTTGGCTGCCCCCCGCCCTGAGGGTGGAAGATCGTGCGGTCCAAAATGATCGCAGAACCTTGGGAGTCATCTTCGACCACGCCCAAGACCGTCGCCTCTGTGAAAAGAGACCACGCCCACACGGTCGATTGCAAGGGGGCACACACGATTACACACGATTACTACTGTCATAGCAGCTGCGAATGCGGGGTATAGCCATGTGTGACGGTCTCGCTCGATTGACATCTATCTACATGCATCTTGCATCTATGAACATGCACGCTGCCTGTATGTAGTTGCAGTAGTAGTTGCACACGGGGATGTGGGAGTGCCAACGGCTCTTTTGTTCAGCCGTCGTAAATACCTGCCAGCGCCAATACACGTCGTTTTCGGAATGCCCCTGCATGCTACTCCTATGCACGGTTCCGCGTCGTTTGTTTGTGGGTGTAGAAGAATGTAATTGCCATCACGATACTGGTTTCTCCTCCCCGGGCGATCGACCAAACATACAATAAAATGAACTCCTGATGGTCCGGATGTGCTTGTTCGGTATATTGTACTTCGTATGCAAGACGAGGATCGATCCCGTTTGGCCGGACTACACGCATATGCCTTGTTCCGGCGTGGAACCAAAGAAGAACTGCTTGTTGTGCTATTTAGAGATGAGAAAAACGATTTATGGCACCACGACGATCAACATTTACAACGTTTCCCATAAAATTCCAACCGAGCAAAATGGTGTATCCGCAACTAACTTCGAAGGAACGTGCTACATGTATGCATGCTGCAGGACAGGAATTTGGTGAGTGCTGCTGGTTGCGGATCGCCCGCCGTGTGGAGCTGCGTACCGAAAACGAAAATCCAAATCTTCGAGAAAACGGAAGAATCAGCGTTTGCATTTCAAACAAGATATTCATTATGCACAGCTGATGTGGGGGTGCGTACGTCAGTAAACATGAGAACCAAGTGACTCGAAGCAGACCTCTCACCAGAGGTCATGAGGTAGGTATCTTGCAGGTACATCCTCTCGGTACAGCCAAACACGGTGGTGTTGGTGATGTTGGTGATGTTGGTGGGGCTGCTGCGTTGCTCCTCCTTTGGGCCGCCAGCAACGGCAACACCGCCAGCTTTGCCATGATGTTCCAATACAGAATACCTCGGAGTTTTCGCCAAGGTGAGTCGTGGCCCCGTTGTTGCCATCAAGAGACTAGTGCCGACCAGTGCCAGCACACCCGGGACACTAGTGCGAGTGGTGGCGTGGCTGCTCCGCGCCCCAGACCCCAGACCCCAGACCCGAACAACAAGAAGAGTGCGGCGGAAACCACCCCGTCGAGCACGCACAACCAAATCGCGGAGCCCCCGAGATGGTTCACCTTGCTGTAGCACACAGCGGGCATCACCGCCATGGCACCGTGGCAGCACCGCCTCCTCGTGCTAGGAGCTTCCTTTGTCGTGTCTGCTCGAGGATCGTCGATATTTACATGTGATGGAGGTGCAACAGCTTTGGAGCAAAACAAAGTGAGAGAGATATGGATGTATTCGTCCAACCGCCGTGGGTTCTGCCAAGTGCTGTGGATACTTGGCCGACTGGCAGTGTCTTGTAGGATATGAGGATAGGGCATGTGGCTACTGAGACTCTATCTTTTAGCAAATCTTTGCCGTGCCGGCAGTCGAGGAGGGAACGGGGCGAGAAGGAAGAGAGCCGAGTTGGGGGGATTCTGCCCATAATGAAACCTAAACCTGTCTGGGGTGTACAGGCTGGGAGTGGTTACATGACTTTTGACTCTGGCACTACTGTACAAAAGCTACACTTGTACACTACAACAACACTCTTTTCGCGAAAGATTGTTCTGCTGCGATTGTATGTACTGCAATAGGTTAACGACGACTACTGTGACTGCCTCGACGGCGCGGACGAGACGCTTACGCCAGCCTGCTCTCACACCGGGCAAGCGAGGTGTGTCGCTTTTGTTTTTCCTCTGCGTCTTGCAATGGTGTAGGGCCGTAGGATCCGCAGGTATGGAGGCCACCCGTACATGGCCAATTGTAGTGTATCCTCATGGCTTGCAAGCAGGGCGATCATTGATGAACCATTAAGTTGTGTACGGATATTGTCGATGCACAGCAGTACTGCTGCAGCCTCATACGGCGGTGCCCCTTCGAGCGCGAGCCAAAACACACGCACATGTGGTGGGTCATGTTGCCCCTCGCGGGTCTTTGTAAAACCCTTAACCTTGTCTAAACTCGCCAACATTTCAACAAACTAGCCACCAACTTTGCTTCATCGATAGAAATATCGTACTCTCTGAAGCGCCGCACCTCTTCCTCGCTGTGGCTGGATATTTGGTATGTTGACCCGAAAGCGGGAGACGTACGTATGTACGTACGCGAAAGAAACCCGTCTCATCTCTTTAGCTACAAAGCTGTTTTGGGTAGGTTTAGCTCATTTGAATCCCAGCAAGGCATCGGTGTTCTCGTTGACTCCATTGGTCAAGCTCTGCTCTTTTTGTCTCTCTCGTACCCAATGAGTTTGCAGGGGACGTAACAGTACTGCTGGATGCTTTATCTTACAGGGGTCCTACTACTCCAGATTCATCGAATACAGTAGTATTGATTTGTGCACATTCCCCTCTCACAACCCTTAGCCTGCTCCCAGTCTGCGTAGAGGTGCCCTGAGCCATGAAAATTTCCCCACATTTTACACCCGGTTTGTACTTCTTTTTGTCCATGCGTTGCCTCGCATCGTAAAGGTTCGGGTGAGTACACAAGTGCCTCTGTGGGCGTCGTTGTCGAGAATGTCTTCGTACTGCGCCCACGCTCGAAACCAACACGTAAGGAGCAGTAAGTGTGCCTGGCCTCCGTTGCCTGGTGACGCAAAACGATGCCAAAGTTGAAGTACCCATATTTTCGTTTCTGCAACTGACAGATAGAACAACTGCAGCAGTGTCTCCAACCGCTGGCGTTATTTCGCATCCCCACCTTTCTTTTCTTTCGAACCCCGCCAGGTTTGCCTGCACGGACACGGGCCCGCTCAACCATACGATCCCTACGTCCAGGTTGTGGGACGGTGAGTTCCGCAGAGGTGTTTGCGCTTTTTTCTTACCGAGGGATGACAGCATCGCTGGAGCACGCGGTGGGCTGGTGGTGCTGACACTGCCTGTGCGCATGCATGCCCCTATTTTTGCCCTTGCTGGTTGATCACCTCTTAGCTCGTGTCACGCGTCATGGCCTCACTGGTCTGCAAGTCGATTGTGTGCAACGGTACTTGCTAGTGTAACGGCCGCCATCCCGGCTATTATAGTGCTTACTTCACACCCGGACGGAACGCACATGCCGACATATCATAGGAGTGTGCGACTGCTGCGACGGCAGCGACGAGCTTGTCGAGCGGGGGGGAGTTGGCGAGAGGTCGATCGGTGCTGCTGCGGCGGCGGGTGCGGCGGGGTCTGCAGCAAGAGCAACAGCAACATGCGATCGAAACGGTTGCGAGCGGGTCCTAGAGGACGCTCGGACAACAGCGATGGAGGCGTATAGAAGGCAAGAGAGACAGAGAGACAGAGAGACAGAGAGACAGAGAGACAGAGAGAGGCGACGTAACGTCTTTTCCCATACATGTACAGCGTGCCTCGCCTTTAGTGGACAGCAACAATAACGAGTCACCAAGTGTGCTGTTGTGGCAGAACTAGCGGTTATCTATCTCTTCTGGTGTTGTCTTTGCTGGAACGACAAGTGCCTTACGCGCATTTTCGCTTGTCTTGGCGTTGCCTGTCGGCGAAAACCAGCCGAACACAGTGGTATAGTATGAAGACGATAGCTGTGGTACTGTCGGTGGACGGTCGCCCCTGGCATGACATTGATCGCACGCTCCCGCTCTGTGACTCACCCACGGCTGACTACACCGGAGTTATCGACGTCCAGCATGAATTGGGCGACAAATACACATGCTGTTGATGTGTTACTCTTTGTCTTTCGTGTATGCTCGGATCGACGCCGAAGATGGGTAGGCGGCCGGCCGTCATGGCGGGCACGTGTAGTGAGTGAGTTGTCCGACAAGATAACATCGGCAGCAACAAACAACAGAGAAGTTGCCGGGGGTTTGTGAGGGTTGCGGTAGGCGGTGGGAAAGGTGCTTGGTGGGTGAAGGATGACGTTGAATTGACCGGTGTTGAATACATGTGACGCTTGTCCTGGTACGCATGCGCTTATTGGTGTATGCAGGGTGGAAGCCGGGCTCGAGGCTCGGAAGGGGGCTGAGGAGAGGAGCGAGCGGGTGGTGGCAGAGTGGCAGGCTACCCTGAACGCGGGGGAGGTGGACGAGGAGGTTCAAAAACAGGAACTCAAGGCGGTGGAGAAGCTGGAGGTGCTCTTGAAGGTCAGCAGCGCGCGCGAGAACGGAAAATGAGCCAATAAAATAGCAGCAAGAGAAAGAACACCGCTGTTGCTCGTCGTGGTTGGTTTTGTTTTCGCCCGGAAATCGATTGTATCTCGCGACGGTGTGTGGCACGGTCACCTCATGCAACGCCTGCTTTCGTTGGTGTTGCCCCTCCTTTCCGACGCTCATTGGTCGGGATCATCTATAGCAGCTCATTCGCTGTGTTGTACGCTGATTCGTCGGTTGATTCATCAACCCCCCCCGTCCTCCGCTGTAGCGCCTTCATCGTACAGCAAGGAAACAAGCACCCCTAATTTGTACGTATATCGCTGCTCTTCTGCTGCTTGCCGTCTCTTTACCCTGCGCCCGATTTTTCTCAGGTGTACCTGCAGGATGAGGAGAGAAAAGAGAGGAGAGAGAGGGTGCAGCTGGCAGAGCAAGGGCGCTGTGAAACAGCCTCGCGGCGGGAGGGAGGCGACGGACAGGGTGGCGCTGGGCGGAGGGCTATGGCAGCGGCGCTAGGCCCGTGCGAAGAAAACACCACTGAGAGGGAAGCAGCTGCGAAGGTCGGTTGCCATCGTTGTGTATCATGCGCGTGTTGCGATGCCCACGATACACCCCCATGGTCGCTGACTCTTACGCTTGCCGGATGCTTCTTGATTGGAAAGCGCGTTTGCCTTTTTTATTACAGTTCTTAGACTGACGGCATTTCATTGGTCAGCCGGCTAGCGCGGTCGATGCTAATTTATTCCCACACGTGAAACCCCCTCATCAACAACCCCGACCCAAAGCATGGGTGCATGGCCGGGTGTTTGTTGTCGGCCGGGGTTTGATTCGGGGACCCAATACATGCGCTCCCGCGCCGTTGTGAAATTGAGAGTAGCTAGGAATGAGGGAACCAATGGCCCTCGGCAGGCGCAGGACAGGTATAAGCCTTTCTAAATGAAGGTCTTAGGGTTGTCTCCACACATCCCTCCCTTCCACGCATGGTGCCAACAACCCATTTTATTTGTGAGCACCACCGTGAGTGTCCGTTCAGAATAAGCGGTGAAGTGTGCGCTCTCGTTTAGAGGGGGGGGCTAGCTTCGCTCGGACCTACGCAGCGGCGCCCCGTACCTCCTTAGCGTCCCACCCCCCTCTTGAATAAACCCGGCCGCTATGGCGCCGCCTCGCGTCTGCTGCCACACGTTTGTTGTTGATGAACCGAAACAAAGGTCCGCGCGGCGCGGGCGGCGGCAAGGACACGTCGCGACGCCGACGAAGGCCAAGAACTGAAGAACAAGAACAAGAACAAGAACAAGAAGAGAAACAGCAGTAGGGGGGACCGCGACCGTGGGGGAAGCGGAGGAGAAGGCGGTAGAGAAAGGAATCGCGGTAGAGGCGGCGGTGGCTTGGAAGAAGGCGCCTCGACCGTGGAAGACATTCTTGGGCTCGAGTGGGTGGTAGATGTGAGTGCCGACGACGATGATGGTGCTTTCAGAGATCGTGGGACTGGGGGAAATCGTGAACCCGGTGGCGGTAGCGGTAGCGGTAGCGGCACCGTTAATGGTGGTGGGGGACGGGACAGGGAGGAGGAAGATGCGCAGACGACCGCGCTGAGCTTGAAGGCGTACGTGAAGCAGCGGCAGGCGGGGAGCGCGGCGGCCAACGGGGGTCAAGGTCAGGCGAAGGCGGGGGAGAAGAGAGCGGAGGAGTTGCGCAAGACGGCGCTGTTGGGCCCTGTGCTGAACGACGGAGAGAGGTACGCGCGTACGCCTCCTTTTTGTGTGTTTTCGGGGTATTTTGTGTTTGTGACCTTGGTGATGTTTGTTTGTTCGCCGCGTCGCTTGGTACTGCTGCTCGGACGGACTTCGGGCAAGCATGTGTCCCAAGATAAGCACCACCCGGCCTGGCCGCCCGGGTTTTCGACTTGACCCATCTCCGTAGAACTGGCGTGGCCCGTCTCACTTGCTCTACTCGCCCCCCTAAAACCCCGACAAACTGTACTGCATCGGAACACTAAAGGGGTGTCTACCTCGGACTGACGATCCTCTTGAGGCTGGCGGGGCTCCCCCTGCTGTCCCCGCTCCGCGGCCTGGCGGCGGCGTTCGGATTCTTGCGAGACCGGGCGGCGAGGGCCGCGGCCGGGCTTGCGGCGTCGGAGTCGTGGGGCCTGGCCCCTGCCTCGACGGTGCGGGTCGCCCTCGAGGGCTACCGGGATCGCGGGCTGCCGGGGATAAGCCCGCACCTGGACTACCGAAGGTATAGGAGGCAAGGGGGAGGAGGAGAAGGGTGGGAAGTCGTCCTCGGACGCCTCGCGGTCTGATGAGTGAGATAGATCTGAAAGCGATTGTTATGTTTTTGTTTTGTTTTGTGGTGGGAGGAATCCACTCTTTTTTTTTTGGTGGTTCGACGTGGTGTTTTTCTGGCCCTCTACATGGCATCGCTGTCATTTGGGGCGGCACTGGCCCTGGGGGGGGGAGGGGTCCGCGCTACGGTAATCTGCTAATGGTATTTAGAATGAAGCGTTTTGCCTCCTTGTATGATCGATTCAATATCTCTCGATCCCCCTTCCTCCAGAGGACAGAGCGTCAAGGCCGCTCGTGTGGTACGTATACCGGTTGCGCGAGGAGCACCCACGTGTTGGACACGACGTTATCTAGCAACGGTTCTTGATGCACGTGTAGCCCCCCCCCCTTCCATGCCCTTTCGGCGCTGAACTCCCTTGTCTTTGTCTTGTCCTGCCGCAAACAGGTACCCGACCCTGCGCTCCGTCGTTCTCCACTGGGACGAGTTCTTGCACGGAAACGGGAAGTCCTTGCTGGTGATGTGGGACGCTCCCGTCGCTTTGTGGGACTTCTGTTTCCCGTACCGTGACGACAAGCACGAGAGGCCAGAGGTAACGCTGCCACATGTAATTTGGTGCTCATCTTGAAATTGTGCTCTGTTGGGGTTTCCAATTATGGGCCGTCGGGAGGGTGTGGCATTGCCCTTGGACACGCGCTTTAGTTTCTGGCGAAGTCAAGGGGGGTAGTGTTGTTGCTGCCAACGACCGTGTGCGTGCTTTGTTGAAATGGCACCGATCGCGTTGATGAGTAAGCGCTTAGAAATACAGCAGACGCCGGACTAGCAAGGCCAGCCTGATACAGTAGGTCGATTAAGATACCACGCCCCCTGGACCATTTTTCAAAGCTCAACTACAGTACTCTGCAGCGAAAAGCAGTTACGGTGTGCCGACATTGGGTGAACGTTGTTTCGTCGAGAGCTTTCCGAAAACGTATGATAGATACGCGTATCGTTTGTTTTCGGCACCCTCTTCGTCGTGGAGCAGTCGAGATTTGAAGTTGGGTGCAGGAGGTGTGGCGTCTTTCAGTAGTGTGGCTAAACGACGAAGAGGCCCGTGTGTGTGTGTTACGTGTCTTTGTGGCCCAGAGCCGTCAGAAACGAACCGCCGACGGAAGAAGTGCTCGAAAAGGGCTATGCTATGCTAAACCTCCTCAGAGTAGAGTAAGATGCCCTCTTTCCTTCGAGAACGTTCTTTAGTTTTGGGAAGCACGTCTACCCTGGTGTGCAGGACTTGTTTTTCATATCTGTAGATGAGGAGTGGGTCGAAATTTCTCTTGTGGGAGTGTAGGTGGCGTGGGGGTCTGTCTTTCGAAACCGTTCCAGATGGAGGTGAATAGAAACGAGGATGGTGGTGATCTAGCACGGGCAGCAGAGGAGGGTTCGAACAAGCAGCAGTCAAGTTCTCCTGGGGGTGACGCGAGTCCTGAATCTCGTATTTAGCATAGGGGTGGACCCCCGGTACCCTGCCCGTCTCGGAGGGGGATGTTTTGCCTTGTCTCTCCCGCGACTGCCGCCATGTGGGCAACATAAACCAAACAAGAGCCCCCCCCCCGTGAATCGAAATTTGGTCCTCACCGTTCGATCCTTCTCGCCTCAAAAACAGGCGGCCATGTTACGCGAGGGAATAGCGCGCGCCAGGGCGATACTGCAGGAGAAAAAGCCCGACACCGCCGGAAGGGGGGGACGGGGGAAGCGGCGACGAGAAGAGTCGGAAGCGAAGCGCTTGTCCGGGCTTGACCTTGGGGAGGGCTCGAGGTTCGCAGCGCTGGCGGAAAAATGTCTTGATCTTGAGGAAGGGGTGAGTGCTGATGTTGGAAACGGGGGTATGGAAAAATAATCTGGATCTGCAGTAACTGTTGAACCTGCTGGTGATGGACACGGGTATGACTAAACGGTTTTCCGGGGTGTGTGAAGTCGCGCGGGCATACTGCCCTCCAAAAGAGCATATTTATTTCCACATTGTAGGCATCGAAGTGCGCCAAGACAAGCGCGGGGCGTCGGGGTTTTCTAACAGGGCAGGCAGGCGTGTGCCCTCGTCAGGTGGGGGTCGCGAGACTGCCGTACACCACGGGGACCCCCGTCGATGGCTCGACCGCGATGCTCGTGAAGAAAAAGCGTAGTCTACACACCGGTTCCTTCCTTCCGCGTGGGCGAGGAAAGATAGATAGGAGATGGTTTCGTGGAGAACTGTTTCATGACACAAGAGCTGCGTGGGCCCCCCTTCCCTCGGCCGGCTCGCATGCTTTCTCGAACTACTGGTGCTGTAGGAAGAAGAGGGTTAGGCGGTAGGCAGCGTGCCCCCATTTGGTAAAAGCTTTGCGACTTGTGGCGCGTGTACGCGGGCGTACAATAAGAGAGGAAAAGTAAAATGTAGCTGGTCACGTATTGTGGGCGCGGCCGTGTCGCGCCTGTTGGTGCACAGCAGTGGTAGATGGCCCGAACTAATTGTATCTCGCAGCTGTCGGTTCCAGCCAACCGCTGAGGGATAGGGTTCTCGTGGGAAGCGTCTCGTACGACTTTGCCGCGGCAGTGGCCATTTTTCCCGGAGTCGCCCCCTCGCACCTCTCCCCCCCTTACACGCCCTCTCCGTGCCTGCACATGTGCTCGCGTATCTGCCGTGTCGGTGTGTATATCGAGCGAAGGGCTACCTCTACAGCTTGTGCCCCTTCAAGGAAGCCAAGCAGGACAAGCACAGCCTGGGTCGGTGGAGAGGGTGGGGACCGGGCGGCCGCGGGCGGGCGGGGCGAGGGCGGGACCGGGTAATGCTGTTCGACGGAGGCAGCCGCTGCCACAACAACAAGCAGAGGTGGGTTTGGTGTGTTTTCTTGTACGCTCTTGTTGATGCGATGAGATCTGTGTGACGTTTCACGCGAGTGTTTCTCGACAAGAGGCTACACTCTCTCCTGCTGAAGCTCAGGCTGTGCGACGAATGGAGGGTCAGGCCATTGCTGCTGTCTTCCGGACTGGCCGTATGTGTGCCCATGCGGCTCGAACCTCTGTTTTTCTCTGGGCACCTGCGGCAAAGGTGAAGGTGAAAATACATGGAGTTTAAGTTAACTGGGCGAGCCATCACTTCACTCTTGCTTCAATTCTTAGCGCACCGACGCTTGGTTCCACCCCCGCGCTCAGCATGTAATAACATCTCTATTTCCGAGAAAAAACTCGCGTACGTACGCTAGCTGATGTTCTTTTTTTGGTCAGCAGGGTAGCGCGGTCGATGCCGTAATTCTGGTTTTACAACCACGCGCGGGCACATCACAGTTGGAGTTGTCAGGTGCCGATACGTCTTGCAAAAGAATATTCGGCACTATAATACCACATCATCACCACAACTACACACAATAGGCGAAATAAATTTAGGCATCGTCAAAAGAGATGATATGATCATCATCCAGGGGCAAAGGCGGTGTTCCGTCTCCTCGGAAAACCGAGAGGGGGGGGATTGGGTCAGCGGTGAACACCTGGCGGCGAGCACCCCCCCCCCTCCCCCCCACATACACTCACGAAAACCGACAACTGCATGGCGTTGTTACTATCCACTGCGGCGTACGTGATTCAAAGTAGCACCTGCTTCGCGTTGCCCCGCCAACTAGGGCGTACCACTCCGCCCCTGCGTTGTAGGGGCGCTGGGTCAATGGTCTAACGACTACGGCACGCGTTTACACGAGTACCCTCCCGCCCCACACTCGCACACACAACCCGACGATTATAACTGCACGGCGCTCTTACTGCTGTAACTCGTCCACTGCGGCGTACGACGTGACTCAAAATAGCATTGCCCCGTCAACCGTACGCGGTCTTCTCAGGTCTTGCGAGGTGTCGGTGCAGTGCGGGTCCGAGGACGCCCTCGTCGCCGCGGAGGAGATCGAGATTGGGACCTACCGCCTCAGACTGGAAACCCCTCTGGCGTGCACCGAGGCTCACCTGGCGGAGGCCGAGCGAGGGCTGGAGGCCCTTGGCTTGGTTCGGCCGTCGGCACGGGGGGGGCTGCGACCTGAAGAGGAGGGGGCGTTTTCTTCTTCGGGGAGGGTGGAGGGATGTGGCACGGCGGGCGCAGCAGGCGTCTGCGCCAAGCGGGAGTTGTAGAGAGTGTTCTTATGTTCTTGAGCAGGCATGGCCATCATGTGCACAAGAGAGAATTAAGTGTTTTCGGACGTTGGTGGAAAGCTGGGAGCCGTGGGAGTGGGTGGGCGTTTCGCGAAATAAACTAACTCTTAGATGCGATAGACGTGGTGTGCCCCGCCTACCCAGAACATCTCAGCTGTTGGTTGGTGTGTGGAAAGTAAACGAGACAACATGTCTGCTTGTGCCTCGGCATGCACATGCCGTGCCGTTTTCGTGTACAAGCTTTGTAGGGGTGTACGCGGTATCCAGACTCTCGCGCTTGTTGTGGGCATCAGCTCGTGTCAGGTGTAGGGCACCTACCTGCTCCATCGGCTCTGATGCACATGTACAAACAACGCAAGATATATCTCTCTACGTACACCTGCTGTCCTCCAGCGAGGCACCCACTGCGCCCCCAACACACCGCCCGGCTTGTTGGTCGGTAATATTGCAGGACTTTCGTCTGCACGACACGCGCAAACTTGCCGACCCATGCATTCCCACGCACCCCTCTCGTTAATTTTCTTCATCATGTAAAGGCCCTATAGTACACCAACACACGAAAAGAGAGCGAGCACGACAGCACCTAAAAAAAAATTGATCAGGTCTCGTCAGTGTTTTTTTCGAAAGCTACATTTTTCTTCCTCACACACCTAACATGCCACGCCACAGAGTGCGCCTTTGATCTACACACGACCCGGTCGAAGAAATCGTTAACGGCGAGCAGTGTTCCCGCTACCACACCGTAAACAAGCGACACTGCACCAAAAAAAACGGGGGGAGGGGGGGGGGGGGGGATCGTTGCCTCGACTCCGTGGAATAAAGAGTCCGAAGTTTCCCGACGCAGCACCAGTGGAAGCGCTAGTTTCCTTCCCTTCCCTGTGGCATGGCGGGGAACGCCAAGCAACCGTGGTCGAGGGCCAACCCGAACCCGTACAGTAGGTTTCTTCGAGCATGACCACGCCTCCGAGGACACGCCTTCCCGCCGAGAGAAATCAAACCAAAAGGTTCGCGTCTGCCGGTGGATGGGCCGTGAATTTTACAGGGAAAAAAAACATCATTCCTCGGACACCGTTGGAAAAAAATGTTCGACCTACAACAGTTCACCGGGCCGTGACTACACTGCATGTTGAGTCTTGTCACAATATAGGAGATTTGAAAAATAAGCTTGCCCTCACACAAACCATGCTACGCTTCCTTGCCCTCGTCAAAAACCAGAGGGGAACAAAAGGCGAAACTCGGCACGCAACTACTCCCCGACAGAAAGAAAGAGGATCAAAACCACAGGTAGTGCCTCAAGCTTGAAGCCTTGAGAGCGCAGGTCACCGCCCGCGGGCTACAGTAGCGGTAGAGCCGAAACACCCAACTCAGCGCACTTGAGCGCGTGTCGCTATTAACAGGTCAAAACGCCCAAGATATCGTCTCCGATATCCACAAAACGCTCCAAAGATACCGCCTTCGACATCCACAAAACGCCAACATATCGCCACCGACACCCACGCCGCGGCAGGGACCCACAGGGGGACGAAAAAAGCCTTACCCCTCCCCCAGGAAAATATGTCTTCCATGTACTTGGGAGCGCCAATTTACTTGCTGGCGCTTTGTGTTTTGGTTGTACCAACGTGTTTTTAGTACCCTCGCTCCCGGCGGAAGGCCTCGATGCTGTTTCGAAGAGCGTGGTTGGGCACCGCCATCTTGCTGTTGAGGTGCGCGTTGGACATAGGGCTGGTGTCGTGATTCCGCAACCAGGCCTCCAGTGCCCCGCGTTCGTAGCTGTGTCCGTCTTCGCAGACCACGGGATCGATCATCACCTGACGCGTCCATACCGTTACAAAAAGGAGGCGTTCAAGCGCGGGGGCGCAACAGGTGTTCCAGGGCACGCACGCGCGTCAGGGCTGGTAGTCTTTGTGTTTCAAACGCGCCACGATCAACGCTCAACGGGTGGGGAAAGAGATGAGGCTCCCGGCCATGAAGTTAACCCTCCGTGTGGTACAAAAAGCAAGGGCTGCTACGTCAAAAGGCGATGCATACCGTATGTACGGTTACGCATACCGTGTGTGTACGGTTACGCATACCGTATGTACGGTTACGCATACCGTATGTACGGTTACGCATACCGTATGTATGTTCCACTGTGGAACCATCCACGCCGGTTGAAACATCATGAACTAGAAAACAAGAGGTAGAAAATAACACCGACGCACAGGGTCGGTGTGTGGGGGTGGCGGTGATCGGAAGAAGAACAAGGTGGGCGTCGGCCCTCGTCGCTATTTGGACCCCTAGGCCGCATGCAGGCAGCCTTCCTGAGCTTGCGGGTTTGTCTCCTCGTATAAAATCGTCCGGGCAGGGCGTTTCGACCAAAACCTTCTGCAACAACATCCTGCGCGAAAACATGCTGACCACGAGGCTGTGCGACAAAACCGCGGCCCTCAAGAGATATCGGGCTCACTGCAAGCACAGCATACATGCCCAACGAACAACAACAACAATGACCGACACATCCAAAACACCCCCACTCACCCCCCCCCCAAAAAAAACAACCCCGCTCACCTCCAGAGTCAAGGGGCAGATAAAGTCCTGAGGGACGCCCTCATCCTCGTCCAACTCCGAAGGCGGGGCGCTTGGGGGCGCGCTCCCCGACATGACCATGTTCACCGGCGCCATGCTCGGAGCCGACCCGGAGACCCCTCCACCTGCCACCGAGGCCGCCACGGACGTTGGACCGCTTCCTGGAGCTCCAGCGCCTGTCGTATAGGTACAACCACGGCGTTTGATTTTTGCGAGGAGATCATTTTAGTACGACTGCTGCTGTGGTGGACAATTAAACTATTACTCATATATGATACGAGCGTGCTGTTGCAGCGAAGTGATGGTGACTCGTCGTTCGCCGCCCACATTGAAAGCCTTGACGATTCATATTGAAAGCGTCAGGGGCACCAAATGAACGACGACAAAGCTCAAAGGCGCCGTACGGATCGTGTCGCCAGAGGAGATTCTGGCTGTCAGCGACAGGAACCGAGAAAGCACACCTTCTCATTCCCAATACGACAACCTAGACTGGAACTTCCTTCTCCACCACCTGAGGACTCGACCTTGCTTCATCTCCACCTCACCTTCCATGATGCCAAGAGCACGGATGGCGCGGTACTGGTCCGGCACCTCCGCGAGAGCAGACAGCGCCAGAGCTTCCGCGTCCCCGTACTTGAGCCGCCGGTGCTCCACGAACCGGAAGTTGTCGTACCGCCTGTCGACAGCATCATCGTCGTCAAGCACATCATCAACTAAATAATAATAAAAAACATCAACGACAAATACAATAAAAACACTACAATAAGGACGGGAGAGCCTAGAGCGTTCACATGTCGCAACAAGGTGACGTTTCGTTGCGGACAGACAGTTACGACAGAAGACGATCAGGGCCGGGGGAATGAGGAGGGGGGAGGTGAGTGCGGAGGCTAGATCAGGGCGGCGGGAAAACGGAAAATTAGAACAACCAAAGGTAGCAGCAGCGGCACCACCACCACCAGCCCAAGAAAAGTACAGCCGCCTGAGGGCGGTCTCATGGAATATGCCAACCGGGATTGATTCTTCCTCGCCACAACCTTCTCCCTTGCACAAGACCCTCCAAAAAGGAAGAGACCAAGCATTGCCAAAAGTACCGACACGCATGCAGCGTAGTGCAGTGCATGTCACGCTGTAGAGGGGAGGAGTGCGAGAGCTGGGCTGCTGCTGTTGCTGCTGTGATAGGTCGGATGACGGATGACGCACCTGCCGGGAAGTCGGTTGTCGAACTCTCGGCACGTTTCCCACGGGCCCTCCCCGACCCCGACCATGATGATGCTCAGGGGGTAGTTGGAGGCGTCCTGGATCGCTCTGACAGTATCGCGCTCTTTCGTCACCTGCAGTAGTACGCCAAACATCGGGGTCGCGCGGAACGGGAGAGGGGGGGGGGTTACTCATGTTTTGCATGCCCTAGTTATTAGACTATTGGCCACGCGTGTTCGAGAGGGTGGAGCATTGTTCCCACTATACCGATCAACCATGGCCAATCAACCCTTCCTACTTTGCAAAAGGTGGCTCAAAATTGCTCTCGGAGCGGGCAACATCAGCAACGGCGTGCAGGCGCGTACATACGTCGGAGTCGAGTATGTTCCGATGGGATATGCATACGACGCCGCCGCCAAGCCTCAAGCAGTGGATGGGCCAGACGCCGCCAGCCAGCTAATCACCTTAGCCCGTACATGCTGTCGGGCAGTCTTTAAAAAAAAAGTTGTTCGCGATCCGTCACCGAAGCCGGCTTGAGCTCTCACCAAAACAATCGAAAAAAACCGCACCCGAGCCCCTCTTCCAAGCAAAACCCCCCAAAAATCTCTTCCCCCGCCTCCTGTTCGAAACGGAACCCCCGGTCTCTCACGCTACCCTGATCGATTCACGGTGCCCCCCTCCCTAACAACTACCTCACGGTGCTAGAGTTTCGCGCTTGGTGATGTGAGAGCCTGGTCCGGTGAGAACCCGGCGTGCTTCGCCCCGGCTTTGTAGGGATGCGAGGTCAACGGTCTGACGACTACCTAAGGACGCGGGTCTTGGCACGGATCGGCTACATGGCACAGGCCGGGGTCTTGGCACGGAGGGTGTAAAAAATCGGGTTCAAAGGAATTTAATTGATTATCGCACAGGTATCGTTCACTTCGCACAGGGGTGTGCGGAGACCCCGATACCTTCGACTCCGATACCTTCGGTGAGGTTGGATGAAACCATGGTACCCAGCTGTTTTTGTCGCGGGCCGCTAGTGTACCAAGGTACATGCATAGCTTGTATCATGGGCTCCACCGCTGTACTTTGGCATTGTAACGTTGCTCATGTGCAAGTGATGTTGTTCAACATTGTCGTTTTTGTCGGAATCGGCAAACGGTTTCTACTCAATCAACCAAGAACGCGTACAAACCACACGAGACCAAACGACCACAATCAACTACGGTACTACGAAAATTACAGGTAGGATACAGGGAAACAATATGATTACATGGCCAAGGACTGCCAGGCAAAATGGTACATCCCCCGTAGGCCACTGTGTCCTTCTTCGTTCATGGCACCGAACCAAACCTTTCCTCCACTGGCCAATACCCCGCTGCAATTAAAACGTTCTAGCGCCAACCCGCTACCAACTGGTCCACATCAAATCTCAACCGGCAAAAACAAAGCATGATAGTTCACAGCTCGGGCCCGTCTCCTTCGGCGTCCCCATTCCACGGCCCGTCTACGACTTCTACATCACTGTCGTCTCCCAAGATCTCTACATCGCTGTCGCTGTCATACTCGGTCCCTGGCCCGGAGAGGAAGAACTGCCAGCACCAGCCTGTGAGGCGGCGGTAGACTCCGCGCTTGCACCCTCTGACATCGTAGCCAGCGTGTTACTTGTGTGTGGTGTGTGTGTGAGCACACACCTCTGTGTCGGGGAATTTCAAAGTAATTCGCCGCCTCGCCGCCTCGGATTTTTGTTTCGCCGCATTTTACTTCGCCGCATGTGTTTTGTGTGTGCTGGGGTGCTGGGGTGCTGGGGTGTCTGTGTGTGTTCGTTATGCTGTGGTCCTGATGCTGCAATACCTGCACACGCAACCAAGCGCTGGTGTATGTCTGCTGTGATTTGTTTAGGATCGCACACATCGGAGTCTTGGCACGGGGGTGTGCGTTCAAAACACCCCACATCGTCGCTTTGTATTTATTCAGAATCGCACGGATCGGAGTCATCGCACGGGGGGGTGCGTTATATTTTCAGGACCAAACATTTAATTCATGTTCCGCACAGGTATCGGGTACATGGCACGTATCGGCGTCTTGGCACCCCTGTGCCATAGAAAAACCGGAAATGAAAACATTTAAAAAAACGACCGCACAGTGTGCCAAGACCCGCATCCTTACGGTACGGCATGCACGACTATGAGTGTATGAGTACCTCCCCCCCCCCTCCTAACCTGGCCGTCGGCGATGATGACGAGGCAGTGGTACTCCCGGGTGTCCTGCACGATCTCTATCGCCTTGCGGATCAGTGGCGCGAAGGAGGTCGGCCCGGAGAGAGACACCGCCGGGGCGATGCTGGCGTACCGATCCAGGGCCTGGGCCAGGTTGGCGCAGGGCTGGTCGTCGGCCATGAAGCAGAAGACAGCCTCGTCCCGCGTGTTCTCGTCGCCGAAGCCGTAGCACCAGATCTTCTCGGCGCGGTTCAGGGGGCCCAGTCCGCGACCCACGCCCCTCAGGACTTCCTGCGGGTGGCGTTTTAGAGGGGGGGGGGAGGGCGTACTCAAGCGTTGCACGCCTTAGTTCTTGGTATACCATTGGGAGGGGGGGGGCTACTTATGTTTTGCGTGCCTCAGCTGTTAGACCATTGACCGGGCGAGGGGGGGGGGGGAGATCAGTACTTGCTTGTGCCTGGGTTTACCAAAGCCCATTGGCCCTCGTGTATATCTCTACACAGCCGGACGAAGCACGTTATGTTTTTCAACGGCTGAAATTGGTTGACTGGAGGTAGGAGATACTCACGCTATTTTGACTGCCTTCGTCTGGTGCCCGCAGAGATAGGTTGGTCGGGTGCTGGGGGCGCTGAGGACGTAAGAAGCGTTCTCCACTCGGGCATCGCTCGCGCACTCTTCCACACAGCGGAAAAAGTTGTTCTCCAAGCGAGCTGGGGTGCTCGCTAATTGTTTTCCCCCTACATCTAAAACACCCAACCAGTGGCACACCGTATTTAGCTCTTCTTATTTTTCCTCGCACAAACGGTGCTTCAAATACAATACATGCCTATGGTACCTGGTAAGGGTTGGGCTTCCGGTCGTCGATGTCGTGCATGCTCCCGTTCCCGTATACCCTCTCCCCGGTCCTGCCAAAACACAAAACACACACGAAAGACAACAACGACAAAAGACTTGCTCGGTCGAACGGCAACACTTGATGGCATAACATCCTTATGGCGGTAGATACGGCGGACTTGAGATCTACAGAAAATAGCCTAAACCTTTTCGCTGGTCACGCCACGTTGCCCGAGCACAGCATGCCTAAATACGATGCATATCGACCGATAGCATAGTAACATGAATGTGTCGACCGATAGTATGACTGCACACGTTACTTCCCGCTTCTTCGCCCTGCATGTTTTTGTAGAACGCAACATTTTACCCGTTGGCACACGGACGACGGCGACGCGAACATGTCGAATTCGTCCATGCTTAGCGAGGCCGTTTACAGCAGGCACGGGCAGAGAACTACTACACCAAGACCGAGACACAGCAGCAGTGCACACAAAACAGTTGAAAAAACAAAAAAAACTGCAGTTTTGTTTTGCTCTTGGCCTACATAGGATCTTCCAATGGAAGTAATTTGATTTGAATGATGTCCTGCTGTATGGTTGCTGTTGGATCATGCAATGTAAGACATTTGACTTGGATGAGGCCTTCAGCTCTGAGGCCGGCGGTCCAAAAGATCTGTACTGCCGCGTTGAGGACTACAATTCCTCTTTTGCTCTCACCACTCGTTGGAGCGCGTGAAGTCGACGCCGACGATGAGTCCGGCCTTGCTCACGCCCGCGTCCTTCAGCGCCCCCACCAGCTCTTCCAGGCTGCTCCCGGGTCGCGTCGCGCCCGTATGCATAGCATGTTAAACAAGGGTAGGCAGACAGACAGACGGTCGCCACGAGATTCGCATGTCAACAAGAGAGAGAGAGAGAGAGAGAGAGAGAGAGAGAGAGACGGGGGACAGCCAATCGTAACGCTTTCCTCCTGAGAAGAGTGGTGCAGCGGTTGACCCTACATCTGCCTGCCACAAACAAAACTAACTCCCTTGGAGCCACCGCTAGCTGTGACACAGCTTTTTCTTGCCCGGCGACCCTGTTCGTCTGCGTCGTCTCGGGGGTATGCTATGTTGCGGCAACAGCCAGGTAGGAGTTGGGTCAGTCACCTCAGTACATGGGCAGGCGTCGCCGCCCACCGCGATCGAGTTGGGGTAGCGACCCTGCCCATGAACTTGGCGACTGACCCAACTCCTACGTGGCGGCTGCCGCAACATAGCCCCCGAAAGACGCACACAGGAAAGAACGCGGTTATATAGCTTTTCAAAGCGAGCGGTGGCTCCAAAGGAGGGCTTCGTATATGGCAGCCAGAGGTTGTGCCAACTGCTGCACCACTCCTTCTCCGCTGCTCTTGATACCTTCCTGACGCCCAGCGAGGGCCATTTCCCTCGAAGGCGTGTTGGCGAAAGTCAGGCATGCTATCAAGTGCCGGATGGGTGCGCCCGCGTAAAAGCACACGCACCGTGCGCGGGCCAAACAAGAGGAGCATTTACGACCAGCGCTGGCGTGAGCCAACACCAACAAGAAACCACCGAGCAGCCAAAACAGGACTGCCGAGCGGGGCACAGCCAAAACACTGAACAAGCGCAAGATTGAGGGCGTCACCGAACGTACTGGCTGTTCGGGTAGGTGTAACAAATTTTTCCACGCATCGCGATCAGGACCACTCATGCCAACTTTGTGGGCTCCGACCCCCTTAGGCACTACAAGCTGGTCCGGCCAAGAAGCCCACATTGTGTCAGATGGTCATAACTTTGCCGCATTTGCGATTCATCTCAAAGCAAAGACATTGCCGTGATCGGGAGACTCTGGCGCTGATGATGGAACTCTGTATCAGTTCATAGCGGAGGATTCTCAAATAGAAGCATATTTTGAGGCTTGAAACCGTCAAAACAATCAACAATAAAAAAAAAAAAAGCGGCGAAATTACGCAATTCGGAGCGCATCAAGGCACATCACAGCAGCACACCTCTCTCGATAGCGCGCTGCGTATGGCTACGGACGCGCAGAACACCCAGCGGTGGGAGGGTACTTCTGCCCCTGTGATAAACCATGACAAGAGTGCAGATCGGTGGCGACTGGAGCTGAACTACACCCCCAAGAAGAAAAAAACTGCGAGGAAGAGGTCCGCATGGTACACCGCGCGCGAGGAGGCTGAAGCATGAACAAGTTGGTGGAGACTGAGTTGGGAGCAAGGCAACAACGGCAAGAAGATCAACCCAGGCACACAATCCGATGAACCCCGAAGCAACAGCTCCGGATCATCGCCGGCCGATGTCGAGCTTCCTCCAGGCAAGTTGAGCAATGAGTTGTACGAGTGGGTCTGGTATGCTGCTGTTCCGCGGACTGGCTCCGCCGCTGCTGTTGTCAAGAAGTCATGAACATGATACCACCGCTTCTGCTGCGCTCTGCATCTAGGACTAGGTGCTGCTACTGCTGTGTTCACCCCACTGCTGCCTATATTCGTGCAAGACTGCTGTACAATGTACACTGCTGCTCTACAAGTACAGGCGCAGCCGCCATAATGCCGCCATGATGTTCACGTGCACAAGAAAACGGTCCGTGCTGTGAAGGTTTTTTAGCCCTGTCTGTTGCTGCCGAAGTAAGTGTGCTTGTACTGCTGCCTACCTGTGCATATGACTGCTGCACGACGTGCGCTGCTGCTGTACATGTTGTACAAGCAGCGCAGTTGCTGTGCAAGGGGCTGCTCCGTACGTAATATTTACTCGTAATTGTGATACAACCGCGGAATGCTTTATTTGTAGAAATTGAACCCATTTTGTCCCGTGCCTCCTGCTGTTTGGGGGTGTACTTGTACTGCGTGCCAGTACATGCGCGTACGTGCACGTCGGCCGCACAGCATGCACCACTGCTGTACAAGTACGAGTACCACAGTCATTGGCTCAGAAGCTGCTTCGTATGCGTGTGTTGTAATTAAATTTACACCGTGCTACAAGACAAAACCACTGCTTGTTTTGAAGAGATTCTGAACCAATTTTGTCCCCAAGTTTGCTGCTGCTGTTCGATGTGCACTGATGTCTGCATGCGTGAACGACTGCTGCACGACTTTCGTTGCTGCGCAGTCATTGTACCAGAGGCTGCTCACACTGTGGAGGCACGAGAGCACATTCTGGTGCTGTCCCCCAAGTTTCACCCGGAAGTTGCAGGCGTGGGAATCGAATATTCGTGGGGGGTGTCGAAGCTCAAGTTTCGGCGGGAGCTCAACGATGAGATTCCGAACAACCTGCACAACAACATCTTGACATCCATGAACAGGGAGACGATCCTTACGCTACCGCGGGTTCGCCGCTTCGCACGTCGCACGCGAGACTAATGCCGGGCATACTTCAAGCTCGAGAAGGATGCTGTAGGGGCCGAATCCAAGGACCGCATCGAGCAGATGCGCAAGTCCTGCAAAGCGCACCGCAACATCATTGACATGGAACCTGGCTTCATTGACAAGCAGTAGACTTTCTGTGGCCGGGCATTAGCGCTTCCTCGTGCATGGGTGGGGGTTGCGGCGGGAGAAGAATGCAGCCGGTCTTGATCTTAGCGGCAGCACCAGCTCCTCAAGTAGTTTTCGTTCTGTCGGTACTTGTGGCGTTACTTGTGTCATCGTTTGCGTGCTGACGGCGTATTGTTTGTTGTTGTCAAGTGCTCCACGATGCAACAATCGTGATGTATTTCTGTGTCTAAGAATATGGTTACTTGGTACAAGTGCCTGTACTCTGGATTTTTTTTTCAACACACGGTGCGACGCACTGTACAGTATTGTACAACGGCGCTGGCGATGGAATGCCGGGGGTATGATCCTAAAGCCTTCGCAACATGGCCGAATCCTGAAGCACTCAAACCTCCATGAAGATTTCCATCACCAGAGCAATAAAAATTTGCGTTGCTCAGGCGCTCTCGTCGAACTCCTTGTCAACGGCGCGAGGTATCAATCTCTGTCACAATCGGCCTTTCTTCCACTTCAAAAGTTTCCTCCGGGCTCGTTGAATCGTCACACGTGTTTCGCCCATTTTCGCTCTCACGAAGGCAATTTTGAAAATTGGCCACGCGACGCTGATTTTTTCGAGTTAGAACCTGAAAGTTTGAGACGTTGTTTGGAACAATCTCACCAAGACACCAATTGAAAACCCGAAGCTTTTTTTTTTTTTTTGCCGACTTACACCCGTCTTTGTATTCCTGGAAAAGTGGAAGTTGGCCATATCTCGGGAAAAAAAGCAAAACATGCTGGGGGTTTTCAATTGGCGTCTTGAGGAGAACGTCCCAAATCACGTGTCAAAAATTTAGGTTCTAACTCGAAAAATTCAGCGTCGCGTGGCCATATTGGCGAGTCCCGGCTGTCTTGGCCGGACCAGCTTGTATGGCACCTGGGAAACCGGGTAACTCGACAAACTTTCTCGCCAGCCGTGCAATGATTCCGGTTCTGCATTTGTGAATGTCGCCTTGGACCGCCTCGTAGATTGTGGCGTCATGTGACCCGTCGGAGATCATCTACCTTCTTCGGGGGATGGTGCCACAGATTGAGCCAGTGGACACGCTGAACCCGCGTGCAGGTATAGCGGACCAGCTGCCCCCCCCTCTCTCTCACAACCCGTTAGTACCGAAGTATAATGTTTTCTCTCTCTCTCACGAGTGGTTGGAACCTGGTGCGTCCTCCTCCGCGCCACACATCCCGGAGGACACTTGAAACACAGCAAGGCGAGCCTGGAGACCCCCGTCTCATATCTGGCGTCAGCGGCAGCGGTGCGTTGGGCGCTCCACATTTTTGTCTCGCGGCAAGTGTGGGGATTTCTTTTGATAGCTTCAGGCGCGTGGTTGACCCCCCTTGAGGCCGTAGTGAGTGACAACTACAAAGCAAAACGACTGGTGTGTGGGCCATGATGCCCCGCACAGTTCGGTTTCTTTGGAGTATTTCTCAATACGGCCTCAAGGAGGGTCGACCACGAGCCTAAAGCAAGCAAAGGAATCCCTACATTTGGCCGCGAGACAAGATGTGGAGCTCACAAAGCACTGTCGCCGTTGCCGAAGCCAGATACGAGACGGGCGTCTCCAGGCCCGCGCTCTGTAGGCAGTAGAACATTTGGTTTCATTGAAAAACTATTTGGGATTGAAGTTAGTGCCGATTTTCCTGGCGATACGTAAGTCAGGAGTACCCAGACACCCAGACCATACGAACTGGTCTGTGGGGCTGTGGAGGCTGTGTGGGGGTTACGTGGGTGTGTGGTAGGGTCAACGGGGCCCCGACAGGGCACCACAACAACGTTGTCTCTCTCTGATACTGTGATAATCTGCAAGTGCAGCATTCAAGGTCCTCGGGCAACTTTTTCTCGCTGGGTTCATGACAAGAGGTTCCCCACCACCTTCAAACTGCAGTTCCAAATGAGAAAAGACCCCCAAAGAAGGGCTCGTATGTACAGTGCGTGGGCGAACTGCAGTTTTAGAAGAAACAATCCGCGTGGCCCCAGAAAGCGCCCGCGGTCCCCGCGGTTGTACACGTGTCCCATCAACATGTGTATGTAGCTCAAAGACAAAACTTCCCAGTGAGAAAACACGGCACATGGGCGCTAAAAAATTAAACAGCAGCGATTGCAACCGCATTTACAGTTCGTACCACGCCACCGGGCAAGATATCGTTCAAGGCGGCGAAACAACCCGGCACCGGTGGAAATATTCATAACTCCTATTTGCAATTCTCAAATTTGATTTTGAAAAATGAGACCAACCGACCAACCATTATATCACACCGCAACACGCAGGGCGCCATATATATATCTACGCAGCAGCACCTGCTCAAGGCCAACGGACGCTCTTGCCACGCCTATAAGCTCACCTCGCGAAGCCGGGAGGGTCATTTCCGCCGAAGCCTACGCCAAGAGCCTCAAGCCAGCCCTTGTTGGCGTCCTTCCCTCGGAGCTTCAAGTAGATCCAGCCCAACGCCATCAGCAAGACGATCACCGCGACACGCATGTCATCATCGTGCCACGAGTCTGTGTTTCCGTAAGCTGGGAGGTCGTAGCGGCCATTCCTGCTGTGCTGTTCTCCTTGGGCGTACTTTCCGCCAGCCATGGTTACTGCCAGAATGTTCTGCTTGCTAAGGTTATGTTGTGGTTGTGTTGTGGGGATGCGCGGCACGACCAGGGCAACGCGTTGGGGGTATACAGCAGTTCCAGGGTGCAGCGCCCCCTCAAGCTCCGCGCTGGCTCTGTTTGGTTTGTGCTGCTGCTGCCCGCGCCGTGAGAAAGCAGCAGTTGAGTTGAGTGGTTGGGTGGTGCGATCAGACACGATGAGCAATCTCGGTGCACCTCCTTCGTCGTGGTCGGCCTCACGGCTTAGTGCGTGGCTCGGAGAGGATGAGAAACTAAACCCCGAGGTGAGCGACTTACAGAGTGCCACCACCGAGTGTCTCTCAGTGTGAACAGGCAACAGCAGGACCGCCCATGCAAACTCTGATCAGTTTGCTCTTGGGTACAACGTAGCCATCTGCAAGAAAAATGAAGGCATCACGCTACATAACCTGCTCACATGAGCTCCTATTTAGTACCGCTACTGAGCCCACCCTTTTCGGCTATGGTTTGGTTAGCAACAACTTTCGTGGTTGGTTGCAAGAGTATCCTTTATACTAATCATTCCTCGCTACGACGAGCACCGCTCTTCTTGTTCTTCAACTCTGCAACCAAGCAGATGTCTGTCTACGCACGCAAGACGACCTGCACACCACCTTTATAGTTTACTTCTCCATGTACGAGTATTCGTTTGCTGGCAATGTCGCAACACGCAATGACGACTCCAAGGACATTCCCTTTCTCAATCGGTTTAAAATCAATGCCGGCCTCAGCAAAGGACACCTAAATACAGCAGTCCAACAACAGGTGCGTGCGGTAAGGAGAGACATCGCCCTCGTCAGTCCGCCGCTTCCGTATTCGGTATATGTTGTCGACGTGCCCATTGTGCTCCTCTCCCTCTTTGCATCAATATCTTCACGATTTCCCTTCCTCCCTACTGCTGCTTGTCTCTTCGCCTCAGGCAATCGATGCCTTGGCCCTGTGCGATGTGGACGGGCGCATGTTCCTGGAGATGGATGAAGAGGATCTGGCCGAATCGGACGAGCTGGGCTTAGATGTGGGTTTCTCGCGTGGTCCATTCTACATGTATTGCCCAATGATCCTGACCGTGTCGCTCCAAGCATAATTCCTGCCACATGCATATCCACACAGTACAACAAGCATTGCGCGTGTTTGGGGGTCTTGACTCAATCAACAACCAACCGTTGATGGTTTTCCGGCATGCAGGGAATCGCAGTCTTTTTGCATGCGTGCGGGCGGGACTCTCGACATTGATCGTCAGTGCGTTCAGGGTAGGCGGTAGTGACGTCGTGGTTGGTTCTGTTGTTTAGCTTGCGGCGCGAGAATTGGTTCTAGGAAAGATACCATGCGATTGCTCGGATTTGGTTGGGTAGCTCGAGCCGGCGCGCATTCCCGTCGTTTCATGCGGCGCTTTGCTGGCTTCCCGTCGACCAGTTCTACCGAACGCGCGCTGGCCACACGTTACACGTCTACTTGTACTTCTCTCGCGGTATTGTTTCACAATCGCACCTTCCGCCCGGGGCGCTCCAGATTTTTCTCTCGATGTAGCGCGCATCAATGACCCAAACTCAGCTCTGACAAGGACGGGTGCACCCCCCCCTCCCCCCAACCCGACGCTTACATACCTCAACATCCCCACGCACCCTGTCCTTCCCTGGCCCCTTCCGGCACCCGCAGATGAAAAGCATCCACGCGTTCTTGAAGCTCCAGGCGGACCTCGAGGCCCTGGAGCTGTCCCACCACGGCGAGCGACCCCCGCTCCCCGGTTCCTCCGTTCTCCCCTTCAACACGGCGAACCCACAACCACGACCCCCCCCTCCAGCGACGGCGGCGGCGGCAGCAGCAGCAGAGACGGCAGGTTCCTCGGGGGAACCTCCGTGTACACTAGGAGGAGAGAGCTCTGTCGGTGGTTGTGGTAGTGGTGGTGGTAGTAGGTCATGGTCGCTGCCGTGCGTATCGGTTGACGCGGAAGGAAACAGCTTCTTTTGCGACAGGAAGGTTGCTCTCGGGGCGGGGACGACGGGGTCTGGGATCGGAGCGCTGTCGGAGCTGATTCCAACCACAGGTAGGTGTGCACACGCGTGACGTGGGTTCGAACCCACACTGCTCTTGGAATACTCAGCATCATTCAATTGCATTTGTGCTGCTGTAAACTGCTGCATGCTCCAGTTCACCAGCAGAGTAGAGGTTGTACAAGTACGGCACTTCGCTGTTGCTAGAGTACAGTAGCCAATCGTACCGGGTAGATTGGAGTGGGTTTGGTTGGGAGGGTGGATGCCGAGTTTCTCGCCACCGCCATTCTCTGCTGGATGGCGATCGTGTCACGTACACAATGCCTTACGAGTTGTCTCGTCTCGCATCCTCTCGATGACCCGCCCTCTCTGCGTCTGCCGTTTTTCCGACACATCCCACCATCCGGTTCGACACTTTGTTTTCGTGACGGCCGCTTGGGCGCAGGTCTCAAGTTCAGGGAGACTCCGGGGGACTACGACTTCGACTTCCACTGCGCTCCCGCGAGGCAGCTTGTGGTGAGCCTTGACGAAGGGGTGGACATCGAGGTCACGGACGGCACGCGCCGAGTGTTTCCGGCAGGCACGGTGATGCTTGCGGAGGACACGTGGGGGAAGGTGTGTTGTTCTGGAGTGAAGGGTTTGGCAGAACAGGACACAAGACAGACAGAGAACGTCGAAACGCCTTGCGTCTTTCTGAGTGTAAAAGCCTTTTGGCCAGACAGACGGGGCACATACGTAAAACTGCGGCGGTGCGTCTTCTTCGATTGGTAACCATCGCGAGTTCGTCAATTGGAGTTGTGTGTGTTGTAAATGTAGGCGTCGACCGCTCTATATCCCCGAAGACAAAATACGTCATTCTAGCCCTGGAAAGTCGAGAAACAGCTGTGATGTGGCTGTCGCTTAGCACCAACAGCGTCGTTGTATGAATATTTAAGAATATCCCGTTCGAATGTGGGTATATCTCGAACGGGTAGTCTTTCTGTGTGTGTATTTATTTTTCCTAATATCCATCCAGTTGCTTTTGCTTGCGCTTCAGAGGGAAAATATCGAATTTCGGTTGCCACAAGTCGAAATGAGGGACGAGTGGAGCAGTTTGATGCCCCCCGATGCTTACGTCTTCTTGCGTCATGCTGCCTGACCGCCGCACACAGGGTCACCGCTCACGCGCTGTTGACGGGAAGTCGAGAAAGTCGCTCTTCCTCGTCCTGCCTGACGACTTCAAGCTGGGAGAGTGAAGTCAAGCTGAGGCGGACATCCATCCCCATCCTCGTCTTGTACAAATCATGAAAGATTGTCAGGACTATTAGGAGCAGCGGCTAAATAAGAAGGGGCGGGTCGGACGGTGGGTTCCAATCTTGGTCAGGTGTTTCGTTTGTGTGGAGGTCAGCCGGCCGCCACTGTGTGTGAACGTGGTGCGCTCTGTTATTCCGGTAGAGTTGAAGCACCGCACGCGACGAATCTCCAAGGCTCGAACCAACAAGCCAATTCCTTAGAGACAGCCTGAGCGTGCCTTCGGCTGCCCGACACACCGCATGTACCCGTGGGGGCACCGTCTGAGCACTGACGTTTTGCGCGGTTTCGAGGAGAGGTGGTGCTCCGACCTCGTTGCGTGAGCATAAAAAAAAACTGGCACAAGAGGTACTCTGTAGCGTTCATATCAAGAACGAACGGGCAACTTTCTCGACGCAAGCAGCCAGCAACAAGAAAGAAAGCGGGACTGCTGCCGTGAAGAGTGTTGCACCCACCGCGTGTCGTGTAGGTAGGCAGCGCAAAGGGTATCCTCGCTCTTGAAAAGAGCCTCAGAAACCGGACAATTATGGTCAACTTTTTTTTTTGACAGGGCACCTGACCCATGCTTTAAGGGATGCACTCGCCCCTATCGCCGTGGACAAAGAAGAACGCGCGCGTGAAACGCAACACCATCAAACAGCAGAACTAGAGACTCGGCGCCAACTGCCCCAAGTCAAAAATCCATCGCCTACGAGAGCGTCAACGCGCGGCAGGGCAAAAAGTGCTGACGACAAGAATCGACAGCTTCTTCGCCAGTCACGGCTGCACGCTTGGCGTGTGCGCAGGCAGATTTCGCTTTCTTCCTTCATCGAAGGCCTCCTTCGAACGTTACCCTTCCCCCTAGCAAGGTGTTCCGAAAAGACGCGGCACGCTTCTTAGAACATACGGAACTGCTTCCGCACCGACACGGCCTGTCAGGCACGGAACACGCGCCGGAGAAACACAAAAAACAGGCGAACCGGGGGAGAAACGCGAAGGACGAGAAAAGAGAAGCTTAAATAAGAGAAAACGTGTGTCAGGAGTAAATTGAAACTCTGTGTAAGCGAGCGGGTCCGCCTAGGATACAGTGCATGGGGCAACCCAGCAACCCATTGGATATGTAAATAAACCGCCGTGGTGTGTCCATTCCATTCGCCTTACCGGGTAGAACGAGAATGAAACTACGCCTGTAGTAGAGCAGTCATAAACCTCGTGTGGGTTCTCCCCTTGCCCGTCATCCCATTTTTGTGTCCACCTGTCTCTCTTGCCCCCGCCCCCCCTTCTCCGGTCATGTAATATATTAATTTCACTCCTGCTTGTCTCCCCGCCGGTTTGACTGGGTTTACTCACCGTGTTGATGCACGGCTCGTGCTCGAGCACGTTAAAGCGCACGGTCTTGGACAGAGGCCGGCACTGCCCGATCGTCACGATGTCGCCCTCCTTCACGTTTTGCCAGCAGGGAGCGCAGTGCACGGTCATGTTCTTGTGCCTCTTCTCGAAACTGGTGATCATCAACCGCGCACGTTGGGAAAACAAAAATCAAGGTGAGTTGACCAAACCAGGGCGTCCACGAGGACGGGAATATTGGCGGGTAAACACAACGGACGATTCGACCGGTCCAATTCTCGACTTCATCGACATCTGCTGACCCCTGGGTGCAAGACAGGGAGTCAAGCGTGGCAACAACGGGAATCAATTTTTTTTACGCCCCGCCCTACGCCTCTTTCAGGCCCAGGAGGCATCCTCCTGCTGACAAAAGGAACCCGTACAAACGCGGCTCAGGCTTCCCCGTCTTCATCCAGCAACTCATACACCACAACTCCCATCAGCCATGACCAGGGCGCAGCCGTCTGTGTCACAAAATTTAGCTCACCCACACGCCTGTGTCGGTACACGCGCAATTGCCTCCCATCTAAGAACGTATGGACCCTACCCAACCCAACCGAAACGGCAACAAAGCCCGCAGCAGCGGCGGCGGGTGCACGCGCGCTTTGCTTACCGGCGGTACTTGGATACGAAGTGCAGGTAGTCACGCCTGATGACGATGGTGTTGGTCATCTTGCCGGCGGAGATTACCAGGCCCTGGCGACAGACGGGGTGGATCGAAAAAAGGACGATAAACATCAGAACCGAACACGCAAAAATGCTATAACCCAAGGACCCCTAAACTGTCGCGCCTGCAAGCATGCGCTATCCGCAGTAGTTGCTGGGCCTCTACAGACAAGCGGGTTCTTCGAACAACAACAACACACAGACAGACAGACGGCAAGCAGCCTCTGTTGTTCCTTTGCCAAGAGCGAATCCCAGTCCATCTTCGTCATGTGCAGACGTCTCCATGCGTGTGTGTGGTGCGAGTTCCGCGAGCCTGCCGACTCGAGCTACACAAGCCAACCACGGACGCTACAAACTGGCGACGAAATTCACGCGAGCTTTCCATACTCCCTCAGGGAAGGCTTTGCATGAAAAGTGATGCAGCTGTTCATGGGTGGCCTCAGGGAAGGCTTTGCATGAAAAGTGATGCAGCTGTTCATGGGTGGGCAACAGCCAAGAACCCCAAACACAATCCCCGGTATGGTGGCCCCGCAGGCTTCGGTGGGCGGGCGCTGCTGCCGGGGGTGGGGGGCTCCTTCCAAGCATGCGCCAAAAGCAAATAAGAAAAATTTATGAATCACCTTGAGGATGCGGCCGCGGATGGACACGTCGCCCGTGAAGGGGCACTTCTTGTCCACGTAGGTCCCTTCCCGCGCGGTCTTGGGGGTCTTGAAGCCGAGGCCGACGTTCTTCACGAACCGCATGCCCTTGCTCTGCGTCATCAGAGAGAAGAGGCGAGACAAGAACAGAGAAATGATCAGGGGGTCAGCGACAGCCAACGGATGGGTTGGAGGGTAAAATATGGGGCGACGCAACACACAAAAGGACATCAATAGAGTCATCCAATCAACTTCCTCTGCGGCCCTCTATCGAGGGAACCGACGGATTGGATGAAGAAAACCAATTTGACATCTGATGGAGGTTGTTCAACTGATAGCCGTGAACAAAGCAAGCACGTCTTTTCTCCTGAGAGCAACGACGATAATGTCCGTGAGCCGATGCGTGAGAGAGAGATGCGAAGCGGAGCAACCTCGACACAAAAAAGATAGGAGGGCGGGGTGTTCGCACCTCCCTACTCACACTTCGTGAATTATGAGGGGGGTGAGTTGGGGCAGGCGACAGCGTCGCCAACCTTACTCCGCAACACCAACTTACTGGAACAATGCGGGTGCCGCCATGGCAGGGTTAAGGGGCAAGGGCAGGAGATGGCACCAAGGCTCGGACAAAAAGCACGTTGTCTTCAAACAGCCCATAAGCTGATCTGAAACTCTAGTCCGTTCACTTCATTTCGTCATTGCCTTCCCTGCCTTCTGTTCTACACCTCCCGCTGTATAACATGGTACCGCAAGCATCTCGTCTATTATGCTTTTTGATGGAGAAACTGACCGACAAATCGATAACTACCTCAAGCTACTCTCGTACAAAAGCCGTCTTCCTACGCCACATCTTCCACAACAGACAATGCAATACCTCCCCACTATGCAGCAAGGCCCAACGAGAGGTCAAGCAAGCCTCGCGGGTGGGGCAACGTCGAGGGCCGTATTGGGGCACCAAGGCTCGGACGATAAGCACGTTGTCTTCAAACAGCCTCGAGGCTGATCTGAAACTCTAGTCCGTTTACTATATTTCTTCACAGCCTTGGTTTCTATAGTTCGCCCATCAAACATCTCAGCTTCGTGTCACACCCCGCAATACCGCAAAAACTGCGCCAATGAAGGAGCCCGGCAAGCCAGCATCTCTCAAACTGGAGCCGTGTTCGTACGCAACGAAACTACGCTCTGTCGTAGATTCGAAAACCATTCTGCATTGTGTATGCATAGATGAAGCTGATTCTCACTCACAAAAAACCAGGGTCCAGTGATACACGCCGCTCCAAAAGCTACGCCGGCACAACCACGTGTGCTGCGTCAAGATATTCTACGCGGTAAGAAAGCTAAAACTACGCTACCTGGGGCGCCGGGCGTAAGGGCTCGGACAAAAAGCACGCTGTCTTCAAACAGCCGAGAGGCTGGTCTGAAACTCTAGTCCGTTTACTTCATTTCGTCATGGCCCCCCCTAATGCCCTCGGGCGCGCCCACGTAAAAAACCTCCACCTCCACCTTTGCCTTCGTCAGAACAATCAAGATACCGATCAGCTTCTCTTCATGGCGAGACCTTACAACCAACAGCCATCGATACCGTTTCCGTAGATCCCACCCCCCAACACTTACCCGACCACATCAAAGTAAACCGCGCTGCGAAAACTCACACTGGGTGAGCTGGTGGGGCTTGTTAAGACACGCTGTCTTCGAACGGCTACAATAAGAGGCCGACGCAATACAACACTGACGTAATGCTCTGATTTGCTGTTGTCTTTTAGACACGCAATCGCTTGTCACATCAAAGGGGTTTTGGTCGCTGCAGCTCTACAAACACCACATGCCTTGCACCAAATTACGACATTTCGTTTGACCGGCAAAGGGCCAAGAAAAAACATAGAGGGTACCGGTCTGCAAAGGCTCGGACAGCCAAGGGTTGTATCTTCAAACCCAGCATAAGCTGGTTTCAGAAACTCTAGTCCGTTTCATTTCGTCACCGCCAGCAGCCTTATGCCCCAAATTCAACTCCAACCCAATCATCGTCTCTTATTCCGGTCACGGGGTTGACGTCTGTGGATAAGATGCCACACCTCTATCCTTCCGAGCACCTACGCTACATCAGTGGAAGTGGCCTCGACGCAGTTGCGGAAATAACAAGGATATAAAGCTCCTATGGACAGGAGTAGACACAGGTGTACGAGGTTGGTGCACTACAGTGTAGTAGGTTCCCTCCCTCGATGGGGAAAGCAGCACAAAGCTATAGTGTACAAGGAGATGGACCTACTTGCCGGTAGACACGAAAGATAATACATGTATGTAGAAAAAACTTTTGTTCAAGTCGACTTTCCTCATTCGGCGAAATAGGAATGGCCTTGAGGCCAAGGCCCTCGAGTTTCGAAGCCATAACAGGCCCGCAATGCTCGCCAGAGAGAACACTACAGCAGTGCTCGATGTGCACGCTTGTTCCAGATGTTAACGAACGAACTATGGCTGACCATTCGAATTGGAGCAGTCTAGACTCGAAAGGCAGCAGGCGGCAGCTTGCGCTGGCAGGTAGAAACTCTTTTTTGAACAGTAACATAACCGTCTTACCAACGCGCGTGCTGCTTTTAGCATGGCAGCGGGGATGCCCCATCCCGCCTTGTTCCGGCACGTGTTGGGGTAACCAACACAGCATCGTTTCGGGAACACCCACCCGTCTGGTTCGATGAAGTTGCAGCACAGCTGGAACAGGTTTACCGAACTACTGCCCTTCCCCTTGAAACCAGCAACGCAACTCTTTCGCGCGGGGGCTTACCTTGGCGACCTTCTTGCCGAGAACACGCTTCGCTCCCACAAAGATCGCATCCTGCTTCTGGTACGCCTTCTCGTGCTGTGGGTGGGAAAAGTGGGCGCCAAGTACGGGCAACAACGGCGGTTGTTCCGAGTTACTTTGTTGGGTCGGTTTCGACATCACCATTCATGCTACGAAAAGAGCCACAGACGAGAGAAATGGGGCAGAAATCAAAACGGTCGTCCTGTGATGAAGGCAGGCGCGCCCAACGGTCGGACGTCGGGCTGGCAAAATGTTTCCATAATTCCCAGTTTTTACACTAGGTCGTAATGCATATGCATACGGTGGTACACTTCTGCTGTGTACATGCCGGTGGTTCCGTTTCAGACTAGTCTATGCAACGGGATAGTTGCGCAACGGATGGAAGGTCGGATACTGCTGAATAGTGTTGGACACAGAATAGAGAGCCAGCATCATACAATTGTACACCTGCCGCGCGTCTTCTACCCAGCAGTCGTAGGAAAAGACATGACGCGCAGACGGAGTGTGGGAATGAGAGTGCGCCCCAGAGGCGGCGCAACCCACAGGCCCACGACTCATGACTGCTGTGACAACAACAAGCAAGGAACAACTACGTATTGAACAGCTTTTGTCTCCATTCACTCAGCTAGCTCCCTTGGAAGAGTGTTGCACGACGGTGTTAGGACCCTGATACGTCGCAGTCACAGCGATACAGCGATACAGAGCACTAGGCGACCCCACCGCGCGCTTTCCACGCCACATCGTTCAGAGGGCTCCATTTCGAGGACTACATGGTCCAAAACACGATGGCCGTGTGCAAAGAACCATAGAGGGGTATGAGCAACAACGAGCAAGCCATCCACAAGCAGTGCTGTGCTCGAGGCAGACCGTCCATTGCCCGCGCTGCTCTCCCACGCCAAACACCACCCATACCCCTTGGCTACACAAGCGAGCCACCAACCAAAACGCACCTGTTCAGCCTCCCGGTAGTCCTGGAGTCCCATGGTGCCTTTTATCAACAAAACGAACACGGCATGCACGAGACAACAGGGTTGATCAGGACACAATCTCAATGCATGCAGCAGGCCAACCAACAAGGACCGCGTTCAGCGATGCCCTCTCTGATCTGGGTGGGAGCAGGGCGGTCGCTCACACCACACCACCCAGGTATCGACGGGTTGCCATCACTCCATTTCTTTTGATCCACTGAGCGACAGAGCAAATACAAAGGCCTCACTTACTATCTACCCCTGAGGCAAGCGCGTCGTGCTCACCGGAGGTACAAGGAAGCGATGCCCTGTCAATGCCAGGCTCCCCACACACCACGGATCACGGCCATCCAGAAGCAGCATTCACGGGGCAACCACCCCCCTTCAATAACTTTAGAAATATGCGGAACCCCCTAATTGTGCCGCATTTCGCGGATTTGCATGAGCCAGCACTTAGCCCATCATGCTCATTGAATGCCGCGACACGTGGGCCCTGCCGCTACCGCTGTGTTGCTGGCGCTGTTCTGGTGTTTCCGTATAGTTTTTTCCTTTCTGCCCGTACCGCACCTATCTTTTACAATGAGTTTGGAGCAAAATGATGAAAACCCTTTCAACGAGTTTGCTCTCGGAGCATCTCCAAGTGGCAGTGGGCCAATCCCCGGGGTTACAAGAGCCCGACCCGCAGCGGCCAGGTTACTCATGGACAGCCTTGACAGCAAGCCAGTCAAGAAAATGCGCACATCTACCGGTGCTAAGGGGCAGAGTACAGCGAAAGGCTTGGTGGAGAAGTACAGGTGAACATGTGATTTGAAAGTTTTCGACTAGTGTATGTAGCCCCCCTGAATTTCTCATGGATGTGCCGCACAAGGCAAGGTTGCTTTGGGCGACAAGCGTCCACCCGGCATGTGGCTAACCTCGTCACGGTCATCAGTACACATAACCGACGAAAGTGTTCGATACTTTACTCTGTAGGCTGTGGAGCTGTGGAGCATACGCCATGCAGACAAATAGCGGCCGAGAACAATACAGAGGCACCGCCGCCCACAGCTCTGCCGAGAAGATACTCAGACACAGACATCCTCCCACCTCCCACACAGCTCTCCCCGCGCTGCTGTAAACCGCCGTCGTTTCTCACACGGAAGCAGGTCCCCTGGAGAGCCCGAGTGGCCGCTGAGGTTGATCATTGTCGGCCATAACCCGAGCGAGAAGGCGTGGGAACTTGGTCATTACTACGGCAACCCATCCAACCGAATGTGGAAGTTGCTGTCCAGTGCGGGCATCATCCCTCCCGGCTTCACCGCTTCGAACGACGAGGATTGCCCCATCACGAGCGGCGTGGGCTTCACGGATGTGGTGTGTATTTTTATTTATTGTAGGGAGAGAATGGTAGAAAGCGCACTGAAAGTCCTTCTTCTATTCCATGTCATCGGTGACCAGCCGGGTTCCGTGACAGCCGAATGTCTCCTTCGATTTGTCGAGTTCTGACCGTCGTACGAGGCAGGGATTCCAACGGGGAGCGCTGATACACGTATGCAAGGGGAAAGTTGGCAACAATTTCGGTTTGCCTCGAAACAAGCACTGCTGTACGCGTATGGCTTCATTGTAACAACACACTAATCACCTCGACGTACAGCGAGTGTCGCTGAACGACAACTCACAACCGACACTCGCCAACTGATTTCACCAGGGCTTCTCGATTCCCGGCACCGTCTCCAGCGAGTTCGGCAAAAAAGAGCTGCATTCCTGGCGGAGAGGCTTTTACGACCGATTAACAGCCCACGCTGAGCGCGCGGCGGCCACGGTAGCAGCGTCAAAATCATATCCAGCGGAACCGGCAACGGAGCGGGGCACAGATAGTACCTCCGCGGCGGGCAAGGGGGCTGACCAAGGAGTGGCAACGGCGGCGACAATCAAGGCCAAGATCGAGGATGGTTGTCCCAGGATCATTGCCTTCGCTGGAAAACGCCAGGTACTACAGCTGCAGTGCTCCTGTCAAAACTAGGTGTTGATGGTGGCAATACTCGATCGGTATGCAGTTTTTGCCTCAACCATATCAACTACGATTGCTACAGAGACAGATCGGGCAGAGTTGTGGAAAGCTTTTGAGCCCTCCCACCACGGGAAAACACCCCGGGTCGTCCATTATTCTTCGTTACGGTCTCCAAAATCAAAACAGCCCGTTGTCCGAACCCCCGGGCAAAAAGAGCTGTGGGCCCAATATCGCTCCATATTTCTAAAACGCGCTTTTCTCTGCTTCCGCCGAAACAGTGGGAGGAGCTGTTTTTCGACGCTAGCGCGAAGGACAAGGCCAAGACAAAGGGGGGCAAGACCGGCCCCTTTCGGTTCGGCCTGCAGCCGGCCGATCTGCGCCCGCCCGGCTGGCCGTTCCCCGCGGAGCGGACCGAGATGTTTGTTGTGCCGAGCAGCAGCGGCGCGGCCGCTATGACCAACGAGGCTCGTGAAACCCCGTATCGGGACCTCGGGCAGCACATGTTGAAATCGGGAGGAGAATGGACACATCGCCGTGGACAGCAAAGCGGCGGCGGAATTTCCTCTGGAGAGAATGGGGCGACGGCGCCACCACCGCCGCAGCAGCGATAGAAACGGCATTACCTACCACCCATCAATCTAGCCAAGCAGCACAGATTAGGCACGAGGAAGTCTCGCCGACCAGTATGGAAAGAGCTCCAATCTGCGGCAATGAGTAATGTGTGGTGGTCCGTCACAGAGTTTTCGCTGATTCAGGAATGGTGCGCCTTGTGCGTGCAGCTTTGACTCGAGACCTGGCGCTGCTTTGAGGTGTAGGCCGCGGTGGCAAAAGTGGCGCACCGCAACACGCACACCCACGGTGGACACATGTACACGCGGAGTTTCGCGTCAAAAGTAGGGTTTCCGAAAAGTAATTTAATGGCGTCCGTCGTGAACCAACTATTTGATTGTACAGCACGTTTTTTTCTGGTGTGGCTTTAGGAGTCTCGAACGATCGTCGACCATTGTGGAATCGGCCGGTCATTAGTAGTGCGTCGTGTAAGTAAAAGCGTAGGAGGTAAACAAGGGTAGACTTGAGAAGCGGTAGAAGTAGGAGCGGAAGTGGTGATCAATACGCAGAAAAATGGTCGATGAAATCGTGGACAATGGAAGCAAGAAACCCTAACAGAGACCTTGGCCATAGCGGTCAGTGGGTCGAACGAGGAGTTAGAAAGGTTGTTTGCGTGGCCTTCGCGTTGCGTTTTTCCCGTTTCCGCCTGCCTACAGGCAATGCACGCTCTTGGGCGCGATTACCTTCTAGTCTGAGGACTCATAATCCACCACATCTAAGGGCATTAACTAAATCGGAGGGGGCAAGAACAAACGATACCGTAAAGAGGCGGAGAGACGGCAACCCCCCTAGAGCGACTTTCAAAGGTCGATTGCTCCACAATCAAGCTTGTGCTAATACCAAGATTGATCGACATGGAACAATCTCGTCGAGGGCTTTCCGTAGACGTATCGGCTCTTTCCGCATCCCCTTGGTTGTGTAGCAATCGAATCAAGCTTTGAAAGTCGCTCTAGGGGGGTGCCGTCTCTCCGCCTCTTACGGTAAGTCGAGCCCATACACGTGCGTGTCATTTGGGAAACGAAAAGGAGAGGAGGGGAAATGCCCCTTCGCGTACTCAATTATCTGCTCGCTTTTTTGTAGACGATGACCACACCTAGCTTGGTCTCGAACACGCCTTTACCGGGGGTGCACAATTAAAACGGAAGGAGGCATCTCAAAGGAATTTTTAAAGGTACTTAACCACATATCGAGACGAAAATTGCAAGCGTCCAGCCTGCCAACTCTAGCACCACTTACGTGGTCCACCGACAGCTACATTACTCAAGATTCTCGTGACACAACCAACGACTGACCATATCCACAAATTGATGTCGACAACAACCACGCATGAACCACACGATCTCACATCACAGACTAAAGAACTTAAAATTGTCGGGACACAACAAAAATCGAAGCACGACGTGCTCACCGGCAACGTACGAAACGAAAATCCACAGCGAGAGCACATCTCAACTCCATATGTTCATATAAGAGTAGCCCCGGGAAGCCAACACGGACTCTCAAACCCGAAGCAGACGGCACCTACCGCCACACCACAACATCGGGCAGCAGCAGCAGCAGATAGTACGCAGCAGCGCTCTCGATTATTAAAAACTGAAAGAAAAAACAGGAGGCACCAACAACACAGTAGGAGCACCAGAAGCTAGCAAGCTGCAACACACCCAAGCCTATGCCAGCGCCTTGAGCACCTCCTCATACACGACGAACGTGATGGCGGAGGCGGGCGCGGCTCTCACGGCGTGCGCCACGCAACCCTTGAAGAAACCCCTGACACCCTCTTTTCTGCCGATCTCGGACGCGCAGTGCAACGTCCCCCGATAGCGGGAGGATCCCGCCTGGGTCTCCTCCGCGGTGCCCCGCTGCTGCAGCCTCGACTTGATGACCTTTTCGGGAAGGGTTGATCAAAGGGGGGGAGGTTGGTCGGACAGACAAGAGGCGAAATTAAAACAGCAACGTCGGGTCGTCGGAACGAAACGGTCAGAAAGCGCTTTCCAAATAATAGGTACCGTTGACCGGTCTCCTCATCATACAGTGATACATACTGCGGGGCAATGGATGACTCTTGTGTGCAATTTACCGGTGAAGGTACTGCCGGCGGTGCCAATAATTTAGGAACGAAGGCGATGTGTGGTGGGGCTGCAAAATCAAGGAAAGGTGCCCACAGATCCACTTCGTGGTGCGGAGTCTGGAAGCGACGTGCTCACCTGGGTAGGGTAGGTCACAAGGGTAGACAAAATCTTGGACGCACCTCCCATCAAGAGCGACTCCTGCGGCGTCTGGGGTAAAGGGCAAGCCGAGCGAGACACATGCACAGTGGGGGGGTACGGGACAGCCAGAGAGGGCAAACTTTAGTTCTCCAAGTGTCTTCGATGCATTTCTCTCAGATGCCGAAAATTACTCACAAGCATCCCTCGCTACACAGACATGCAAGGCTTGCGAGCACGAGCAGGCACGGGATCTGTTCGCAAAAAGAAAAAAAATCTGCGGACAAACACGATCGGAGAAGTTTACAGGGGGCAGACAACAGCAGTTGTGAGGGACGCTCGTGCTTGTCGCTGCCAATGTACCACCAACGAGCCATGTACATCACGATGCACCGTTTCAGCAAAAATATTAAGTCGGCACAGGGCTACCTCAAACACAATAGGAACCGTGCACTCAATTTCTTCGAGCCACAGCATTTCGACGCCAAAGTAAAACGCGGCGAAACACATTAAAATGGGTAACGTATTTATCGTATCAAGTTACATTTTCGTTTCGCTTCGGCACTCTCGCTTTCAGCCACTCGTACACGGCGAACTGCACCGCTCCTTGGCCGCACAGCATCAGCGCTGGCACCGCTCCCTTGTACAGCGCCAGCGGCCCCTCTTCGCGCGTTATTGTTCGTACCGCATCTGGGTTTCGTAAAGGTAGGATGGTATCAGGTGGTGAGCAGACCGCGCTTTGCAGGAACCACACGATCACATCATAACACGACGAGCAGAAACACTGGCATCCTTCTCTCGAGCTTGGGAGCAACTTTGCAAAGCAAAACCTGCACCGGGTGCGAATATTTCTTGTTGTCATCCAATCCTCTCGGTGTGCCGCCGGTGGTTGCAGATGGCGCACAGGATTCACAGAAGCACCTCCCTAAAACAGAATCCAACACAACGTGGTACACTGGAGGCACGCAAGCACACACCCATCAGCCCCGAGTAAGGACGAACCCCCCCGCTCTTAGCCTTCTTGTCCTGCAGCTGCATCCTGGTCTTGATCATCCACACGGGGTTGGTGGCCAACACCATCATCGCCCCCGCGACGTATCCCGCCCCGAGGTGGTGAACCGCCCCTAGATCAGCCTCTTGTGGTACTCTAGCGCGGATCGCGGTCTGCACGCACGCACGTTGGTACAAATCAGAACGGCGCGCGAAGAGGGGGGGGGTGGGGGTGGCGCACAGCAACGAACGAATGGCATCGGGAACGTGTAGAACGACCGCGACCCGCATGCACAAGGCGACCCCGCATGCACAAGGAATTACACTTCGATTAAACCTACACGATACCCCGTAGCAATGGCGCCATCCTTCCTGCAAGGGCTTACAACGTAGCTTGACGCGAGGATGGAGGTTTCGAGAAACTGGCTGCGGACAGTAGAAGGGTGAGTCAATGGCGGCCAGAAATCTCCGCGTTCAAGACAGCAAAAACTATGTCACCCTCGAAAAAAAAAATCGTTAGTTAAGCCAGGCGGACAGGTTGTCGCCAAAAACGGTTTGTTCTCGTGCCAGTTCTCACCGAGGACAACTCTCGCATCCCCACGTGCTTGTTTCGTCGGGCAATAAGTACTGTAGAGCGCTCACCCCGTAGAAGACGGAGATACCCCAGAGACAGAGCCCTCAAAGCGTTTCGACCAAATATTAGTTGCAAACAATCCCAGAGAAAGCCCCCCCAAGAAACGAAAACAAAACCAACACAATACATATGCATACATACCTTAATCTTCTCGTAACAGTAGAAGAATCCTCCCCAGGCGACGGCGTTCCCGAGTAATGCTGGACCCAGGCCCTGCGCGGACAATAATAGTCTACATTAGTTTCCGTTCGGCATGAGAGCGATCATGCCGCTGACATACGCAACCTCTTGCCGTCTTCTGCCAACATTTCATCTTGGCGTTACAGCAGCGGCGCTTTGCAACTCAGGGGAACAAAAGCAACAAGCCACGCACACCATCTCTTGCCGCCGTGTGATACATACGACGGAGACCGAGTCCATGCATGGGCCGGACTCATGTTTCAAACTCTCACTCGACAAACACGACCAAGCGTCGGCGGAATCCCGCATACTAAGCTCATACGCATGATGCATTCAAGCTTGAGGTTGAAGCACCTGGTAGAGCGCTCTTGCCCCCTCCTCCCGGATGATGGTTCGAAACGCAGTCCCGAGCGACTTGTACGGCGACGGGCCCTTGTCGTAAACCTGGGCGGTTACGAATTCACGCGTCGAAGGCGCACCCGAACGCATGGAAGGGCCGGTGACCAAATACGTGTTGCCGTGAGCTCTTCTTACGACTCCGAGACCCCCGTGTTGACCAGCGACTGCTGTACCGCCCACCACGCGCGCCTCGGGGGATTGGTTCATCCGGCGCTCTGTTTTCTTGGAAACTCTTTTTGAAAAAAATGCAGGACATCACAGAAGGACCACCCGCTCCTGACAAATCTCAGAGCGTATGTATTGAAGTATTTACAGTGAGGGTTGAGAGAAACCTGCTGGATTCTAGACAATAGTTGAGTCTACCGTGAGAAACCAGTGCTGCAGTGCAGCAGCCAGCCGGAACGCCGGAACCAAATCATCAACTCGGAAACTGCGACGCGGCGGAATTCGAAAATGCGGAGTTCTACTGCAGTTACTGCGCATCTGCGCGTCGCTGTAAGGCTGCACGCTGCACGCACCGCCAGCCCGCTGGAAAGGCTGCTTCTGTTGAAAGTTCTCGAGAAGTACACAATGGCAGCATCGGTAGAGCGCTGGCACCTTATAGCGACGTATTGGTGGTGAGAAGCGAAAGGAGACATGGCTGGTTCTCGACGGACAAAACGTCAACTTGACAAATAGCCAGCAGCCGCAAGTACAGAGCACCGACTAAAGCTCTCAGAAATTTGTGATGCACAGCCCATCTGGTTGGTACAGAGCACGAGCACGTTTACGAGCACGAAACTAAGCGTCCTCGTGTCCTTGCCTGGTATCTAGTTTTGACTAGGTCTAGTGGGTAGAGAGCAGCGGTCGTCACCACTCCCGCTGTGGTTCCCGCGATGAGGTGGTTGGCCCCGTAGTGCCGTTTTCCCTTAGATTCGCGCTTCGAAAACATCTCCAGCACACGATCTCGGAAGAGGTACTGCTGCTGTCTCGTCGACACGCTCGTTGTGTTGGACCGTGAGATCTCCGTCATGACTGCTGTGTACGGTGTGCAGCAGCAGAGCAACTTGAAGGCCCAGGCGTCAAGTCAGTCAGTGCCGCTGGTGCGCTGCTGGCGGGGGCGAACACAGGCCGCCAAAACATGCATACCCTACCTTTGGGTGTGTGATTATGCGACCCCCCCCCTATTTGAGGCTCGGCTCCGTTGGCTGTTGGGTTGTTTCGTTGTGCCGTGTACCTCGCCAGAAACACAGAGACAGCACACCCAACCCATCACGAGAGTACCCCTTCCTTTCTCCCACTCCAGGAGATGGACTCGCCTCCGTACCGACCACCTCTTCCGCAGCAGGAGGCTTCCACAGAAACAACACCCGAATTTGAAGATAATTGCCCGCAGTCAGTAGGCCACGGCTTCGAATCGGCGTCGCTGGAGAAACAACGCAGCCACAACCAAGGTGCCACCACAACAGACACCAGCGGGCCATCGGCGTGCTCCGACGACGACCTGGATGATAGCAGCAGCGTCGACTTGCTGGACGGAGGATCATCATCTGTGACCCCTCCTCCACGCACCTCGTCAACCGCATCATCAATGCCCCTGGCAATGGCTCCGACGGCGATGGGGTCACCCACGGATTCCCCCGCGAGGAAAAGGTCTTTGGACGGCGGTTTCTCGATATCATCATCAGACGAGGACGAGTTCTGCATGACAAGCTCCAGTCGGCAGCGCGGGTGAGATTTTGAACCGCCGTGCAAATGAGCAGCAGATAGAGGAGGGGTGAAACGAAACGCCCGCATGGTGACCAGACGAATTTGCACTTCAAGCGACAGAGAGAGAGAGAGATGTAAAGATAATGTCGACACTTCGGGATAATACTGCTGTGTAGCTGTTTCATAACTTGCACGACAAGCAACAAACCAAAGGTTCATTGTTGTGCTGTCCTTCTCCGCATTACCCTAGGTGAACCACGAAATTCGGCCCTCCCCGCATATTTTTTCGATTGTCACACTGGCTGCCGTTGTGCGGTCGAAAAGAACGCATGAAGCTGTAGACCCTGCACAGAAATAAAATCGGCTTGTACTCCTGTACACCGTAGCTTGTAAAGCAGTACACAACGACACATTCGACGTACACAAGACAGACAGCAAGACGGTAGTGAAAGAGCACCCGCACAAGCTTGTCCATTGAATATCGTTGAGTTGACCCTAGTGCGAAAACAGTTTTAGAGTGGTCGTATGATGCTGCCACCATCTCTGTGTCACGTTACGTTTGTACCGTGTTTTTGGGAGAGCGTACCTCACGCAGGTGATTGGCTCCTGATCGCAGTCAACCCCCCCCCCCCCCCCCCCCCCCCTTTTCGTTTTCCCCCCCCCCCCCCC